CGGGCGGCGCRCGGGGCGCTGCGGCTGCCTCCGGCTCAGGGTGCAGCTGCCGAGTGCAATGGGATGGATGAACAGAGCAGCAGGAAACGTGGCCCTCGGGGCTGCCCGGAGCGGGGGGCAAGTGGAGAGGGCCTGTCCCGCTCCCCACATTCCCYCCAACAGGGCAGGGGGGCTGGAAACCCTGTGGGTTGTGGGGCAGGGACCCCCTGCCTCCCCTCCATGCAGTCCCGGTGCACTTGGTTTTGGCAGCACAGCCCAGGGCCCCATGGAGGAGGGACCCTACAAATCCCCGTGGAGCCTGACCGGGTCCCCGGCACCCCATCAGAGCAGCCACCATGGCAGCGGCCGGGCTGCCACTGCCTGCCCATCCCCGCAGCCCCCGTCCCCGCCGCGTGCCCCACGTACCGCCGCGCCGCGGTGCCCACTGCGCCCCGGCTTGGCCGGCTGCCGGGGATTCTCCTTGACGGCACCGTGTACTTTGCACTTGTCCCTGCTGAACCGCGTCCCACCTATTGTGGCCGCTGCGTGCGGGTGCATACATCACCGGGCCGGGGCTGCCGGGGGATCCGGGCCAAGCCGGCGCTGCGCGGGGCCCCGCGGGCACCGCCGAGCCTGCCGTGGCACCGCAGGGCCCTGGGATGCATCACCTGCAAACAGCGCGCGGGCTCTGCTGCCGCCTCGGGTGCACCCGGGGCCTGCTCGGCCGTGCTGGGAAGGCGGTGGCTCCGTGGGAGGTTTTCCCGGGTGGATGTTGGCTGTGGGGCTGCAGCTGAGCCCGGAGCCGCCAGCACCGCAGCGCAGCGCAGGAGGGTGCAGCAGAGCTGGCGCTTCCTGCACCCGCGGCTCCCCGCGGCCCCGGACGCCAGGGCTCTTCCCGCGGCACCCACAGGGTGTCGCTGGGAGAGCAGTTTGGAGCTCGCCCTGCAAGGAGCTGCTGCAGCCTCATGCAGGGACCGGCTCGGTGGCTCTGACAGTGCCCGACGAGCACCCGCTCCTCCGGGGCCTCCATCCAGCCCCACATCCCACCCGCATCCTGCTCGGGGGCTGGAGGCACCATCCACGCGTGGGGCTGGCACAGCCAGAGACCGTAGCTCACGATCCCGGGAGGGATCCCCGGGCTCCGGGTGGCAGCTTGCAGCCGGTGGCCCCGTCCTCCCCTTGCTGCCTCCTCCCRGCGCCCCGGCCCCATTTGCATCCCATTTCCATGTGAATGGAGCAGGTCAAGTTGAAAGTTGAAAGGCGGCTGCCTCGGGGCGGCGGGGAAGGGGCCTCTGCGGCGGGGTGAGAGCCCCACAAAGGGGCCGGGTCCCCCGGGCACCGCGGCGCCCGCCCCCCCGCCGGCACAGCCGCCACCGCCGCCATCTGCGGAGAGCCGGGCGCCAGACAAAGCCCCGCGCCGCGGCCGGGGCCTCCATCTGCTCCCGGCCCCGCTCCCGGCTCCTGCTTCCCGGCTCCTGCTTCCCGGCTCCCGGCCCCAACCCGCTGCGGCTCCCTGTGCATTGTCCCAGGACGCGGGGCTTTGTGCCAGTGCCGGGGCCAGGGATGCTCCGGATGCTCCGCAGCTCTCCGGTGTCACGGAGCTGTGTGGGGGGCACGGAGCCTTGGGCTGGGGAGGCAGAGCCGGTTCCCRGCCCCGCCAGGAGGGCAGAGCCACAGCCAGGGGARATGGGGCCCGGGACCAAGGGCTGCCTTGGAGCTCGGCACGGGGCTGGGGACAGCGGGGCCGGGCCGGTTCGCAGCCCTGTCCTGGCAAGCGGCTGCGGTTGCAGCAGGAGGGAACAGCCTGGATGGAGGAGCAGGGAGCTGGCACAGTGGGAACGCCGCGAGCCRCTCGAGCTCCCGTGCTGGTGCTATCGGCACAGCCTCCATCACCCGCGCTGATAAGGCCCCGCTATCRGTGCCATGCCGTGCGAGCGGCGCTGCGGGAGGTGCAGCGGGATGCGGGCAGCATCAAAGGGCCCTGCTGGTCCTGCAGCAGCGGGTGCCCGGGCGCGCGCCCCATTGCAGCAGCCGGGCCCCGGCAAAGGCAGCCGGGATGTTCCCGGGAAGGGCGAGGCGCTTGGAAGCCGCCTGCTGCAACTCCCTGCCGCGAAGGCGCCGGGGCTGGCGTGCCCGGGCAGCGCCCGCCGCCCCGGCACGCTCGGCACCGCGCACGGGTGATGTGGCGGGCGCCCGGGGCGCGCGGGCGCCGCAGGGCCATGTGCCCGGGCAGAGCGTGGGTTGGGGCTCCCCTAGTGCCAATCCACCTCCTGCCAAAACCCTTGCAAAAGATCAGGCAAAAAGATCTGGGAAAAACCCACCTAATGCACGGGAAGCAGGATGCAGAGCGTGGCGGCCCGGCTCGGGATGGATCCTGCCGGCTGCGGGTGTGGAGAGCAGTGGGGCTGCCCGTGGAGGCYGCTCGGGAAGGGCTGGGAAATGCAGTCGATCCGGTTGCCCCGTGCCGGGCAGCTCCGCGCTCCGCGGAGCAGCAGCCCTGGGAGGGGGTCAGGGCGGCGGGCGCTGCGGTTTGCTTTGGGAAGGGCGGCACAAACAGGGCGCTGGGGTGAACAGAGCCAGTTCTGCAAATAAAGAGCCGGCCCCGCCGCCCCGTCGCGACAGCCGGGTGCAGGAGGGAGCTGCCGGCACGAGCCCTTCCCTGGGACGGGACGTCCCGAACGTCCCCTGGCTGCSGCTCTGCCCCACGGAGCGCGCGCCCCACGCCCGGGCTGCCAACCGCGGGCTGCTCGTGCCACTCTGCGCACGCTGGTGGCCGCGGTGGTGGCACAGGACGAGCTCGCGGCGCTGCAGCGAGGCCGCGTGTCCCGAGCAGCACGCGGAACGGGGCTGTGCCGCCGCCGCCGACCGCAAGCACGTTGCTCAGCGAGGAGGAGGAGGCTCGCGCGCAAGCACAACCCCCCGCAGGAGAAGTTGCTCGGTGGCCTGCGYGGTGACCGTGCGCTCCCGCGAGCGCCCGCACCCCACGGCAGAGCCAGGTAGGTGCTCGACCCTCGCCGGGGGCTCCTGGGTGCCGTGGGGCTGGGGCACCCGGCTGGGGAACAGGCTGGCACCTCTCCCGGCCTGATCTTTTGGGGAGGATGATGCCTGACATGTTGAAGCCGGCCCCGCTGCGCTGCGTTCATGCGGGAGCGCGGTGAGTGGGGATGCTGCCGGGCACCGTCCAGGCGCGACGCTGCTGCCGCCCCGCAGCGGGGCCGCCGGGCCCGTCCGCAACAGGTCCGCGGGACGGCGCCGCTGCCCGGGGGCTGCTCGGAGGGCACCTCGCACGGGGCTCGTACCGCGGTGCTCGCTTGGCAGCGGTGCCAGGGCRGGCGGTGCTCCGGGCGCAGGAATGCGGAGCAGCGGGTTGTGCCGCCGGCCGCCCCGGTGCTGCCGGGCGGCCCTCGCCGGCAGCGGGGGCTGGCCGGGTGCTGGGATGTGTCCCTGCAGCCCCCGCCTTGGGGAGGGGACCCTGCATCGCCCTGCTGCGCTCGGTGAGCGCCTCGGTGCTCAGCGAGCGTGTCGGTGCTCGGCGCTGCTGGCAGCCCCGTCTGGGCTGCAGGCGGGGGGTGCAGAGAGCCCGGGGGGGAACGGGACGGGGCCTTTGTGCCGGCTGTGACCGGCCCCAGCTGTCCCGCCGCTCCCGCTGACACGTTCCAGGTCAGCTGGCAGCGTCCCCCGGGGCGAGGACGGGCCGTGGCGGGCAGCCGGGGCGGGGGGACAGCACCGCACGGTGCAGGGTCAGGGAGGGCCGGGAAAGCGTGGCTGGAGGTCACCGCGGTCCCCCCGGGCAGGACGCCGTCCCCAGGCCCCGCGCCGCTGGGGAGCCCGCGCTGCGCGATGTGCTTGGCCGGGGCCCAAGGACACGCGGGTCGGGGCCTGCGCCGCTCCGGGCTCTGAGCGGCTCCCGGCGCGCSGTGACCGGGAACGCGCGGGCGGGARSCCCMGGCCCGGTGCGCAGGGAGCCCACGAGCTGCCCCAKTGCCCCCGCTGCTCATCCAGGGGCCTGTGCCCTGCCAGGAGCCGCCTGCACCACCCGGCCCCGGCAGCTGCTCGCTCCCCATCCCCAGACTGGGACGGTGCATGGCTCAAAGTGGCAAACCAGGATAGTGCACGGCTCAAGCTGGCACCACGCACAGCTCTAACCCCACACGGTTGCATGGCTCACACCTGGATGGTGCATGGCTCTAACTGGGATGGTGTACAACTCAAACCAGGATGGTGCATGGCTCAAAGTGAGATGGAGCATGGCTCTAACCACACACAGCTTCATGGCTCACACCTTGGTGGTGCTTGGCTCCAACACTGACACTGCRTGGCTCTAATCGGGATGGCTGCATGGCTCAAACCTGGGAAAGCTGCATGGCTCAAACYGAGACAGGTTACGGCGCAAACCCGGATGCTTCCAAGGCTCAAACCTGGATGGTGCACGGTTGCAATCCCCCTAGCTGAGGGACAGGACACAGCTAATGCGTCTGAACCTGGGACTGCACCATTCCCACCACCCGCGAGTGGGGCTTCAGGGGCAGATGTGCGGCCTCACTGTCGGGGACAGCTGGGATTGCTCTCTGTCCCCACTGCTGCCAACCACAGCATCCCCGCTGCCCCTGCCCTGCGGGCTCAGTGTGCCAGGGATGGGGCAGCAGGAGCCGGCGTGGCGGGGAGCGTGGGGCAGCGCTGGGCGGCCAGGGGAGCGCGGGGCAGCACGGGACGCCTCGGCCGCGCTCGGGCTGTGCCGGCCCGCGGGCTGCGGCGCGGATTGGCCGGGCGCTGCTCCGGGGAGGCCGCGGCGCGGGCGGAGGCGGGGTCCCTGCCTTGAAATAGGAAGCCGGGCGCGGGGCTCGGCGGCTCCGCGTAGCCGCTCGCAGGCGCCTTTGTGCGGCCCCGCTCACGGCAGCCCTCCCACGCAGGCGCCGCCGCTGCATGGGCGCCGCGGGGCGCCGCGGCCGGCCGCCAGCATGCCCGCCGGGAACGCGCCGCCCGCCGGCGCCCGCAAGCCCGCGGCGCCCCTCGCCTCGGCCATGCCCTTCCGCATCCTCAACAAGGGCCCCGAGTACTTCCGACGGGCGGCGGAGCTGGGCGCCCGCAAGCCCAGCGCCGTCGAGAGGCTGGAGGCCGACAAGGCCAAGTACGTCAAGAGCCAGCGGGTCGCCAGCACCCGGCAGGAGCCGGTGAGGCCGCCGCTGCCGCAGCCGCCGCTCGCCCCGGCCGTGCGCCGCGCCGCGCTCGTCCCCGGACGCAGGGTGCCCGTGGGCCCGCGGCGCCTGGAGCCTGGTGCCCCCAAGCCCTCGCTGGACCTGGAGATCCTCAACAACCTCATCAACGTGTGCGACGGGCCCTTCCCACCGGTGGAGAGCCTGCGGGGCGCCGGCAGCGTG